GCATGCCTTGTGGCCCTTTGTCAAACTTTCTTTTCAGATGCATTTTGTTTTAAATTCATGCAAACTCTGAAGATGGCCAATTGTTGATTAAATGTGCTGAAAATACTTTCAGTTCATGGTTTTCCCTGTTTTATTTATAGCTGCACCCTTTTCCGTCCTGTAAGCAGAGCTTTCTTCTTCCTTTCTCTGCAATAGAAGATATTTCCTATATTTCCTTATATAAATTTTATTACCTTACGTTTGACTTTCGGACCTACTGATAATCCTTTTCCAAGGCTGATGGCAGTAAACATAGTGACGCAGATGTCTGGTTCTAGGAGAGGAAAGGGGTCTCTCAGAAAGGGGGTCTTACAGAAATTTAAAAAATGGTCATAAGGGAGCATTATGAACAGTCTTATGCCAAAACAAATTTGAAATTTTAAATGAAGAAATACACATTTCTCACAAAAGCTAATCCACCAGGCATGTCTGGTGTATGCGCTGTGATGCTGGCTATTCCATTCATTCCGCTCCTGGCTGGTCTGCTCCCAGGGCCCAGCAACACCAGTTCTGTCACAAATGAGGTGGCTGTTCTTCTTAACTCATTGTATTTGGGAGAGTTTGGGCAACACTGGCATTACTTCATTCTTAGAGTGTTAGGAGTATTTACCAGAGAAGTCATTCAAGTGTTCCTTAGAGAAAGATAATTCAACAACAAATTTAAGTAATTTAGTATTTCTAGTATTAGATTGCTTTCCATTTCTTTCTACATTTGGCTAGTTCTAGTTTTTGAGAGAAATGTGTATTTCTTCATTTAAAATTTCAAATTTGTTTTGGCATAAGACTGTTCATAATTCTCCCTTATGACTATTCTTTTAATTTCTGTAAGACCCCCTTTCTGAGAGACCCCCTTTCCTCCTCTAGAACTGGATATCTGCACCACTGTGTTTGCTACCAACCTTGCAAAAGGATTTTCAGTGATATTGATGCTTTCAAGAATAATTTTTTTCAAAGAACCAACTTACGCTACGTTAGTTGTTTTATTTTTCAATAATTCATGCTCATTTGGCAACTTTAATTTTTTGTTCTGTTTCTAACTTCTTGACATTTTCAACCCTGATTTTCAGACTTTTTTCCTAGGCAATACATATGTTCAAGGCTACAATTTCCATTTTTGACAACACTAGCCATGTCCCATAAGTTCTGTTACAGCATCTTTTCATTAACACTAGTTAGAATGTTTTGTTTCTCAAATTATACTGCAAGTCTTCTCTCCTTCCTTTACTCCCTTTGCCTTCCCTCCTCTCCCCTCCCACTCCTTCCTCCCTCCCTCCCTTCCCCTCACCTTCCTTTCCTTCCTCACTTCCTTCCTCCCTTCCTTCCTCTCTCCCCTCCCCTCACCCTCCCTCACTTCTTTCCTTCCTCCTTCCCTCCCTTCCTCTCACTCTACCTTCCTTCCTCCCTTCCTCCCTTCCTTCCTCCCTTCCTTCCTTCCTTCCTCCCTTCCACCCTCCCTTCCACCCTCCCTTTCACCCTCCCTTCCTTTCTCCCTTCCTTCCTTCCTGTACTGACTAGTGATTGAATCCAGGGCCTTGTGTGTGCTAGCCAAGCACTCTATCAATGGTAGAGGTAGGATCCCTTTGCCAGGGCTGGCCTCAAACTCCTGGTCCTCCCACCTCCACCTACCAGGTAGCTGGGATTATGACCATGTCTGGCTTAGAGCTGTGATTTTTAGCTCCCATATTTCTGAGCATCGTTGTTGCTGTGTTTTACTATTTATAGGCCATTTCTCCCCCTTGCACCTTTATGCTTTGCCTGTTGTCAGACATCTTAGCCTTTAAAATATTGTACATCAATTGTCTTTGATGTAGATTTTTGCTAAGTGAATCTTGAAGTTTAACCTAAATGTGTATTTTCACATCTATCACCTGACACCTCTGCTGTCCCACCTGCCCATATTCCTCTTTTACCCTCTCTTCCAACTTTTTGTTCATTTCTCTGTTTTATCTCCCTTATTAGTTTGGAAATTGCTCACTCCCCTCATTCCTTCAGGACTTATCTTCGATGGTAACAATTGGAAGTTGGGTCCATCAGGCTGTGACAGCAAACAGTAGTTCCCCTCCTGACTTACTGTTTTATGAGTTTTCATTCCTTCCGTATCTTTGGTCTTTCTGAGTCTGTCAATGTTTACTCCTCCCAGTTTGTTTTTTTTTTTTTCTAAAATTATCATTACTTCCCTTTCATTTTTGCAGAATGTTTTTGTGATTAAAAAAAAAATCTGAGCTGGCAGATATTTCATTGGAGCATGTTAAAAATGTCATTTCATTGTGGTTGGACCGCAATTGCTGCTCCTTGGGTGGTAATTTTGTTGTTATTGCTACTTCTTTTTAAACATCTACTGCTTTTTTTTTTTCCTTCTGGTGCTACTGGGGTTTGAACTCATGGCCTTTTGCTTGATAGGTAGGTGCTCTATCATTTGACCCATGCCTCCATCTATTGCTGCTTTTAAGACTCACTACCTGGTCTTTATTTTAGAAGTATTCACAATGATAAGCTAAGGAGTAGTCTTCTTTTTTGTTTTCTTACTCAAGCTCTGGTTTAACACACAGACAGGACAGTCAGCCTCCCCAGAGGTACACCAAGCTACAGCTGCAGGACCATAGCCCTAGTTTGTCCACAGTACACCCACACACCCATGTAGACCTCTCTTGCCATCGCCCCCAGCTCTGGCCTCTGTGCCCCCATCTTCGGTGTCTGTAGTTCTGTTTTTCCAGGTTGGATAAACACAATCAGAGTCGCATTTTCCACATCCTGACTTGCTTCACTTAGTGCAAGGCATTCGCACCATAAAATTTGTTGCAAGGATGATGGCCAAGTTCAAGTTCATCCATGTGCTAGTTACACGTCAATGATGTCTCAGGGAGCCCCTCTGGGTACTCACCTCCAGGAATCCCCTCTGCTGAAGTATGACTGGATTTAGTGACTTACTTCCAACACATAGAATATGACAGTCCTGTATTGTCATTTCCAAGACCAAGTCATGGAAAAACTGTGACTTCCACCACGTTAGCTCTCTCTTGGATTGCTTGCCCTGGGGGAAGCCAATTTCTCTGCTGGGAGGCCGCCCTATGGAGAGCCCAGGTGAGTGTGACATCCTGAAGCCTGTCAATGACCATGTAAGTGACCTGGAAATGCACCAGTCACGTCTCAAGACAACAGTTTTGCCTGACAGCTTGATGGCAGCATCACAAGAAACCTAAACAAAAGCAGGCAGCTAAGCCCCGGCCCTCCACCTGACCCCCAGGAAATACGAAATAATAGTAACCATTTGTTGCCTTAATCCTTCAGGTTTGGGGCATAATTGTTGCAGACCAATGGATAACTCCTGCAATCCAGGCACAAGTCAAAAGACAGTGGCATATTTTCTGCACACAGGCATCTGTGTGGATACTGCTTTTCTCTCTCTGGTCCGTCTCTAGAAGCAAGATGGCTGAACTTCAGAACAAACTGCTGCCTCACATCTGCTTCTTGATGCTTCAAAGTGTGGAGAAATTCACTAACATGTCTCGCCAAATCTTTTTCTGCCCACGCCTGCTCTGCTTTTCTTTCCCTAGGATTCCAACAACCCTTTTCATGGGGTCTGTCAGTCTCAAATGCCTGCCAGAATTCCCATTCTTTCTCTTTGCCTCTGTTCTTTCTTTCTGGAGATTGTCTCCATAATTTTCTACTTCCCCTCTGTTTTTGTTTTCTTGTCAACACTGTATCTAATTAAATGTATTTTCTTCTTCTAATGTAATTAGTTTTATGCTGTAGTTTTCAATTTCAGAATTTCCATTTGACTTTTTTTTTTTTTAAATATCCCACTTCTGATGAAACTGTCATTCTTTTATCCATTTGGATAGGACAATCATACTTTGTCTTTGAACTCCAGTCTTCTTTGATCCCCTGTGGACAGGCTGTAATCCACTGTTATTTCTGCAGTGATTAGTGACTTTTCATCTTATTTTGTGTGTGCTTCAGTGTCTAGCTATTTTTGATTGGACTTTATGTCTGAAAAAATGGTTTGTAAGAATATTTCAAAGACTGGGATGCCATTATTGTCCTTGGAGACACATTTACATATGTTTTTCCAAGTACTCATGGCCCTGTCACTCCAGGAGTGCCTCAGTCCACCTTTGGGATTCAGATGAGACCCAGCTGAGTTGTGATCCTGGTTTGGATATACTCACTTTGGAAACAGACACTTCAAAGCCTCCACCCAAAGGTCTTGGTGGTCCCCAACAGTCCCTGAACATAGAATCCCAGGAGGCGGTCAGAAGTACAGGTAGACTTCTCGCCTATCTGCTCTGGACTCAGAGCCTCCCAGTGTCCATGGGAGGAAGCCTGGAACATGGGCCTCCTTGCTCAGGGTACCATGCTCTTCTCCTCACTTTGTTCCCTCTCAGCAGTCTGGATAGTTATCCAATGTTTGTAATCAGACTGAGCAGAAATGTCCCATCCAGCTCTTCTGGATGCTCTCAGGGAAATGAAGGTCTGGATTTTCCTGTCAGCCTTTGCTAGAAGCACCGGGCTTCTCTTGTATGTGTGGAGAAATATTTGGTTATGCAGTTTGAGATGCAAGACAATTTCTAAATGGTATACTCACTCATGCACTTAAAACACCTAGACCCAGTTAGGTACTTTCACTCCTCCAGTATTATTTTCCTTCACAATTCCTAGTTACAAGCATTGGTTGAATGTTCATCCCTTCCTTCTTCATGTAAGAGCCACTTTATCTTGGTTCTTATAGCCCAGCACTCCATAAAAATCTCTGAAAAGTCAACAAATAGTGAATGTACTTCTACCCCTTTGTCTTAAGCAAAAATATGCTGACAGTAACACCCAAGTGATCATCACAGTTTATACTCTGATTTTCCAATTATAAAGCCCACTTCAGTTTTATATTTTACATCCACTCTTCCTAGCAGGTTGACAGAGCGTTCAACTTTCATCCATTCTCTGCTGAGTTTAAGCGTGCTTACCATTGGAGACGGAATTCCCATTCTCAGCAGCAAAAGCCCCGCACAGGGAGTTAGACAACTGCGTTCCGTGGTGATTTGCATTTCGGTCTTGTGTCTCTGAAGCAATTTCTGATATCATAGGATCTTCCTTGCTAGAGAGGTTCATGTTAGTTTCAAAACCTAAAATAAATTTTAGAAAAGATCAGTGTTGTCTGATAAAATTTAACAAATCAAACATTAATTACATTGAAAATAAATTGATGGTAAGCCTTAATTAATGTGTGGTCTACATAATACACACCAAATTTTTCCACCATATTGTAACACATGAAGGAAGACAGTGAGTGATGACAATCTGTTTCAAAGCCAGGCTCTTTGAAAAATTTATACACAATTTGTATAAAGATCAAATATATCGTATAGGTTGCCCACCTTGAGAAGTTCGTGAGTTCATGTGTGTGTGTCAGGAGTTTTCTGAATTGCTAAATTTCAATACAATAAGGTAATCTTATTGCCTTGAAAAGACAAATATATTTTCAACATGATTATAAGGCTTTCTTTATGCATCTTGGAAAACTGAACCCCAAATACCTTAAAATGCTTTCTGTACACTAAAATAATCACTTACAAATTTAATCTACGTCCTGAGATATATGAGCACAACTTTCAAATTCAGTTAAATACAGAGTCGAATGAGACTTTTTTTTAAAGCTATGTTGAATTAACGAAGTAAAGCATAACTGAGGCCCACGTCCCCAAGGCTGCTGTCACCCTCAGGCAAGGTGTACAAGTGATGAGCCTCACAGATCAAGTGCCAGGGTCCCTGGGGTCCTTGATCCTCACATGTGCAAGGTGCTCCTCCTGTTCCCTCTTCCTGAGCCAGATTCCCCACTCCCTCGGGCTGCTCGTGTGCACCTGGAATCAGCTCTTGCTTTCCTAGAAACTTCAAAAATGTCCCAATCTCTTAGGAGCTGCTTGCTCTTTTTTTGTTGGCTCTTAGTGGATTCTGACTGTCTTAAAAGTTAGCTCAAGTTTTAGACTAACAATTACTGAAATGGACAAAAAGGATCACTTGCCTTCTGCACTTTGCTTAGGACAGGACAGAGGGTTATCATCCCCGACCTCACCACCCAGACTCCAAGACAGTGAGATGTTATCCTTGTTCTGCTGGGAATTACGATTGCTTAGAATCACACAGATGCAAAGAGGTCTATAGAACAGGACATTAACCCTTATTTTCTGATTATTTTTCTCACTAAAAACAAATCATGCTTAAAACTCTCGAATGAATGAAACTAAAGTGGGGAGGACAGAGGGAGGAAGGCAAGAAGAGAGGGACGAGGGAGGAAGGGAAGGAGGGAGGAAAGGGGGAGGCCCGGTCTCCAGAGCTGGTCTGGACTCGATCCTTCCAGACCCCTCCGTGGCATGACCTGTCCTTGCTCCTGGGATCCATACTTGAGTGTCACCACAGAGCATGGGGTTTAGCCAAACGCTCTGCACGGACTCGTGCTTCAGTGTCACCATGCTCACACTCCCTCTGCTTGTGACATGCTCTCCACTCATCCACCTGCATCTTCCTGCTCACTAACCAGGGCCTCTGCCAGGCCACTTGAAGAGTCATTCACTTATACTCACAGAGCACAGCCTGCTCTGCCCACAGAGAAAAGAAGATTTGCAAAGGTTTAGAAGTAAAAAACGTTGGAAAGATATGATGAAGGCAAAATGATCAGAGCTTCTTTATAAAAAAACGCTAAGTAGTCAAAGCCATCTTGAGCAAAAACAACAAAGCAAGAGACATTACACTACCTGGCTTCAGACCATGTTACAAGTGTGATCAATTAAACAGCATGGTACGAGTGTCAAACAGGCACCCAGACCCAGGGAACAGAGACTCACACTGATTTTCCACAGAGTGCAGAGAACAAGCATTGGAAAAAGGACAGTGTTTGCAGTAACTAGAATATCCACATTCAGAAGGATGAAACAGACACCTCTCCCTCAGCAGTTAAAAAAAGAATCAACTCAAAATGAATTTAAGACTTAAACGTGTGACCAGAAACTATGAAACTGCTGGAAGAAAACAGAAGGGAAACACTTCAGGATATAGGAATGAGCATAGATGTTTTGGACAAGAGCCCCAAAGTTAAATAAAAAATATTTTAGCAAACTAAAATATTTGTGGACAGCAAAGGAAACAGTTCACTGAATGAAAAGACAGTCTACAGAATGGCAGAAAATACTTGCAAACTACACATCTAACAAGGGGTTAATATACAGAACTTACAAGGAATGCAAAAACACATAATCCCATTAAAAATGGACATTTCTCAAAAGAAGGTATACAAATCACCAAAATGTACAGGAAATATGCTTGACATTGCTAACCATGAGGGGAACACAAACCAAAACCACAGTGAGAGATCATCTCACTCCAGGTACAATGGCAAGAAGACAAAAGACACGAGCCCTAGGGAGGACTTGGAGGTGGGAGGAAAACAGCATGTAGGTTCCTCAAAAATTAGGACTAGAACTACCCCATGACCCAGCCATCCCACCCCTGGGTATGTGTCCAAGTGAAGTCAGAATGGAAGAGGCTTCCGTGTTCCCACATTCACTGCAGCACTATTCAAAGTAGCCAGGATCAGGAGTCAGCTCAAGTGTCTATCAGCAGGCAAATGGATAAAGAAAACATGGTCCACACATACAATGAAAGTCTTTTCAGCTAGAAACAGAAGGAAATCCTGTCATTGGTAGCAACATGGATGGAACTGGGGATCATTTTGTTAAATGAATGACAAGTGCCACACAATTTCACTCTGATGTGGAATCACAAAGAGTTGGTCTCACAGAAATTGAGAGTAGAATAGAGGATGCCAGAGCTGGGGAGAGAAGGAGGTAGGAGGTAGAGAGGATGGGGAAAGGTTGGCGCATGTGTAGGCCAACTGACTTACAGTTACACAGGAGAAAGAAGCTCCAGTGCTGTTGCACAGTAGGGTGACTACAGATAACAGTAATGCACTGTATGTTTCAAAAAGCCAGAAGAAAGGATTTTGCATTTCATCAGAAAGAAATTATAAATCCTTGAGGAGATAGATATGTTTAACCAGATTTCAACACTGCTCTATGTGAACATGTATTGAAATATCCTGATACCCCATAAACTTTATCAATTAAAATTAATTTACTTAAAAATTTAAAAAATGATCATAGCATCAAAAACCAAACAGAAGACTTTATATTTAAATGACATGATGAGGTATGTGGTAACTGACCTCCTTTTACATAAGAACAAACATGAAGACCTTCAGTCCCTGTTGTAAGCAAGTCTGAGGCAGGTGGAAAGAGAAGGCACTCTGTTTCTTTTTAGAGCAGTCTTAAGACATAGACATTCACTTGGGCTATTTTATTTTCTCATTCTTCAGTTATTTATTGAGTGCCTACTATGTATGCACCAGATACTCTGGTTCTAGAGGTAAGTAATGAATACCACAGGTCCAGTGGAGCACAGATCCCAGGAAGATGCTTAACAACAAAAAAGCAAAGGCACGTGGGAAGCTCTTTCATAGGTATGGAGCCTGCATAGTTGGGAAATCAAAGGGGTGGAAGGCAGTGGGCAGTGATCAGGGTTTTTGGGGCAGCACAGTTCAGGGCAATGTCTCCATAGATGGTATTTCAGGTGGGGAAGAGGTGGTGCTCACAGAGTGAACCTTTACACACAGGTGTGAAGACCTGAAGCAAGAAAGAGCTTACCTTTCCAGAAACCGGGTAAAAGCATCCTAATGAGCCAGGCAGGTGGAAGTAAAGTGGTCACAAAGAGAGATGGGCACATGACCAGGCCAGTGGACACTCGGGAAGGAATGGGGGTCTTCTCAGGGGAATGGGAGGTTCCCAGAGGGCCAGAGCAGTGCATGACCAAGGGTGAATGGGGACAGTCTTGTTCTGTCCAGTGGTCACAGACACATTTCAGAGATACTCTAGGACCCAAGGAGAGACTATTTGATGCTGGCTGTCATTATAACTGACTTCTCTCTCATAAATAAATGATGGACGTAAATTATAGCCAAAACTTTCACTTTTGCTACTAAAATTTTAAAACATCTCTGTATTCCAATCAGTAGGAACAGTTAAGCCAAGAGTGGTTCAAAAATTTGCCATACAAGTGACAAATCCTTACATTAATTTCTAGGAGCTTTTTAATTATTTTCATGTTAAAAACATGGATTGACTCTAGGATGGCTCTAGCCTGGACTAAGGTAATCCATCCTTCTCACTGCAAGGCCAAAGAATGAATGGTTTTCACGGTGCCTCTTCCTATCATGCTCACAGCCACCATCTCCTTAGTGTGGCTTAGGTGCTGACTCCCGGTGACATGTGCTACTCAATGTCACTTTTGTCTCCATCATAATCCTCAAGTTCACTGTCATGCCCGTTTTCAAGATGAGGTCATTGAGGGTTAATCTTCACACAAACATTTCACAATGAGTCAGGGCCAGCTAGACTTTCTACCTCCACCTACACACCTGCTCTTGGCCTCTCTGTGGCCAGTAGCCTCATGCGTTCATTTGCTTCCATCCTTGGCTTCATTTCATCTCCTGTGCCTCATGGCAATGAGCAGAGGACTTAGGCTGAAGATGGCGTCCCAGCAGCTGAAATCATCCTGATCTCGGTACGCATGCCCTACTTTGGGTTTACCCATACTCATTCGTGAGAACAGGGCCAGCGATGGTGGGGGGCGGGGTGTCATGGATTACTGAATTATGTGTCAGCATTTACTCATAAACACCCTTACTCCCAGTTCAGTCAAATATGAGAAGCATCTGTGTCCAATCGTGTTCATTTCTAGATTCAAACACAATGAGGGTGACAAGCAGAAACTCTCGGTAATTTGACTTTGCTGTGAAGTGTCCTCTTGGCAGAGGACTGGTTGTCTCATCCCTTGTCAAAAGTGCCCCCCTGCCTGATTGAATTTGAGCAAAAACAAGGCAAGGGGCCCGTGGCATTTAGTTTGAAGGAGGTTTTTTCTTCAAAGTACATATATGAGATACATTCCTCATTGAAAAGTTTTGGGATGTTACAGAGCAAAGTCATCAACACTGTTCAGGCCTCCAAGCTACGGTCATCAGTGTTTTGAAGGTGAAGAAAATTCGCAGCAGAAGAATCATTTTGTAACTCCCATGAAT